ATATAAGCAGCACCGACTAAATTTAAAATGAAAAAAAGAATTGTATACTTGTAATTATTTTACAGAAAGATATTTTTTTTTCACTTTAAATTAAATAAATGTGTTTTGGTTTTTTTTTTTCGAACTGTGGTTGGTTACACGTTAGCTCTTTCCTGCTTTGGCGCTCGGACCGTAATTGGACAGCGTAGACTTAGTGATCTGCTTTAGGGCTAAAGCTAACACATGCAGGTTGTGCTTGTCCGCAGCAGAGGTAAACAGAAACAGGAAAGTTGGCTTCTTTATTAGTATAACACGCAGTAGCCGACCAGAAAAGTCATTGATTGCTAGCGCTGTGAACTTTGTTAGCCCGTAAAAAAAATCCATAAATTAGCCGCACCATTGTTTAAGCCGCACGGTTCAAAGCGTATGGAAAAAAGTAGTTGGCTTATAGACCGTAAATTACGGTAATATTTTCTTTTTTTTTTTTTGTCTCACAATTTTGTTCAAAGTCTTTGTTCTTTTAAATGTTTGTTGACGGCTAGACAAACTTTCTCTGTTTCTCTGATTATTCATCTCATGTTGAATTGTCCGTCTCTGTCTGTTTTTGTCTCCTTTTGTTCATTTAGAATCTTTTATCACTTCTCTATATCAGCGACTCTGTCGTACAAACAAAGAGCGACAGAGTTGTACAAATAAACAATCAAAGAGAATTGTAAAATACTCATAAATCCTCTACCGTAGCAAACGTAGTTGTGGTCTCACGACCGACGTTTTGCCGTTACTTTTATCACCTTGACATCCACCGAAGCATCTAAACTCATCCTCCGTTCGCCCTTTGATTTCCAGGCACTTTAGCGAGTTCCTGCGGAGCCATCACTTTTGTAAATATCAGATTGAAGTGTTGACGAGTGGCTCGGTGTTTCTGGCTGACATTTTGTTCTCTGAGTCAGCTCTCTTCTACTTCTCTGAGGTAAGTGGGCTCAGTGAGTTCTCAGCAGATTATTTATTACACTCTCTAACTATCCAAACACATTAAATCATATTTAATCTGTCCAGGATTTCTCTACTATATCTTTACTCTTTTCGACTACTTACTGTGTAACCTCTGTCGGACCTCACGTGGCGTTCTTTGTGAGAGCAGATTTTGGGGTTTAGTTTCAGATCATTTTTAAACTGCAATCAGGATTCTGCATTCATATTTTTCGAAGATATCGACGCACAGGAGCCATAAAGAACCTCTTCACAACCCTGAAATTAAAACAGACATTTCTGTCAATTTATAATCATTACAAGGATTGAAAACAAAATGAAAAAAAAAAACAAAACACACTAATCCCCCTGATATGCTGTGCTGTCAATCTCGTTCCCTGCAGTACATGGAAAAGGAGGAGGCCATGAATATACTGCAGTTCTGGTTGGCAGCAGACAACTTTCAGAACCAGTTAGCATCGAAAAGAGGCCAGTATGATGGGCAGGAGGCTCAGAACGACGCCATGATCCTTTACGACAAGTATGTAATTTTGAAAATGTTCTTTTTAAAGCATTACTTATTTATAAAGCATAAAATATAAATAAAAATACTTTAAACAATACCATTTCATTCAAACCTGTTTCTCCAGGTTTATTGTTCAGTATTTGTGCAAATATGTATATTTCTGTATTATTTGTTTTTTCTTTTCTCCATTAGAACTATTGTGGCTATAATTCAGCGTGTCTGTGTGTTGTAGTTGCTGTTCATATCAAAGAAATCGAAATCAAGCATCAGTCGT